CAAGAGTGCCCTACAAGAGTGTCCCACAAGAGTGTCCTACAAGAGTGCCCCACAAGCGCCACAAGAGTGTCCCACAAGAGTGTCCCAAATGAGTGTCCCACAGGAGTGTCCCACAAGAGTGTCCCGCAAGAGTGTCCTACAAGAGTGTCATTTGGACATACGTAACTTTGTGAACGTGTTTGCATTCGGGTTCGTGGGCTCCATCTTGTTTTTTCAGAAGACACACGAGACTGTCGTGTAGAGTCGAGTGACGTCAGTGTTCGATTTCTGTAGATGGCCATGCTTTGCCGCCTTTGCCTTGAGCCATTTTGCGGTATGTCAGACGGCGATCAAGCTCAAATGGGAAAAAGACATGACAACAAAGAGCAAGGCTGGCAAGTCAGGCATTGGGTCAAGGTGACGAACAGGCTGGCGCTTGTAGTATGTTTTCACTCCAGGTTGTTCGCCGTAGAAACATATCACAGTTTAAAGTTGAATCCCAGCAGTGAAGGAGAACACAGTTAAATTGCCATCCTAAAGGAAACATTGCAACAAGTTCCTTTCTGGGAATAGATATAGTTATATATAATATAGTATATATATATATACACACCCATTTAAATTCCTTGTTGTGTGACGATCCTGTTTCAATCTATAATGAACCGTCCACCAGCTTGGATTCCACACCGCACCCAGTAAAACCAGCTAAAACCGCCGTCAGGGGGCCATCATCGCTGGCTTTCATGAGGTCGGCGGGCCGGGTCATGGAGGATCCGAAGCATTTCGGGCAGGACTTGGAGACTGGCCGCCATGGGACAGAAAACAACGAAGATAAATAAGACCACCGACTTTTGTGAGGAAATTTGTTTGATGTTTATGTTTACTTTTGTTCGATATGTTTCGTTCTAAAGTCGTTGGAACGGATCCAGGGCTTTGGGGACGGGATACGTTTTCAGGTAGATAGGCATGTGTGCGATGATGATTTGGAAGATGTGTTTACGGTTCAATCCTCAATTGAGAATGGTTATCCATGGATATCCTACTTGCCCAAAGTATGGTTTGATGGTCTATGTGTGAGAAAGCTGGTGGGCAAATTCAGTTTGCATGACAACTTTGCACCTTGCCTTGTACCTCGGAATAGATCGAGTTCAAGATTCTTCCATTAAGAAGAGTCTTCCTTGCCTGTCCCAGCCCCAAGAGGATGCCCCGGACCAAGTCTCAAGTTTTGGGAGACTTGGAGTCGAGTGCTGGTGATGTAACAGTCCTTTCTTTCTTGGTGCTTGGACCCTTAGAGAGCTCGGAAAATGGGACAATGAGCCTGTTGAGTTGAGCCTTCAAGAAACAGTTGCATCCGGCATCCGGCTCCGTCCATCCGCCTCACTCTCCAGCAAGCGCATCCACCGAAGCCCACCCGAAGACCATCCGGTGCCCATCCGGACCCATTGGGACCGTCTGACAAAGGGGGCGCCACCAGAGGTCCCCTTCAACCGCTTCAACCCTGAAAACCGTGTTTCTGTGTGTTTGATTTTCCTTTCCCCACCTGCCAGGTGAGAGTTGACCGTTTTTGTTTTCTGTTGTAACCTGTCGGAGAAACGCTGATGGGCATGACGGAAGCGGGAGCGAAGCCGTCCACGGCTGCTGTGAGGCGTGCAAAGATCTTCGCTGGTCCAGAGTCAGAGCCTCGGGGGTCTACGCTGTGGGCGCATCGGTTTCACAGGGTCGAGGTGCCAAGATCTTCAAGTGGTGTTTTGGGGCTCGGTCCACTTCCCCTCGACGCCGGGTCCTTTTTGATCCTTGTATAGGTTGACTGGCCACTAAAAAAATTAATTACACAGCCAAAGCTAGAAAATTCCAAACCTGAACTGGAGCTACACCAGAAATGGCTTAGTGCAGGGCCATGCAGGACCTATGTTCAAAAGTAACCTTTTGGATCTTTTTGGGCTAAGATCTTGTACTCCTAGCTTGGGGATAGAATACCGGCCGCGTGAGGTCGCTTTGTATCGCTTGTCGTGTGGTTTGTGTGGGTCGCGTTGGCGATCTGGCCACCTCACCCTCGGAACCACGGTTGATCTTGCCGAAACCCACGACGAGGAGTTGCCTTCCGATCAAGGTGGGATTCCGATTCCGCAAGATCAAGGCAAGATTCCAAGATTCTCCCCACAGATTTGATCTTGCCTTTTTCTCATCCTTTTGCAGATTCCCAGATCTTCACCAGGTGAGAGATTATAAAAACCCCTCACCCAGGGAATTAGTATTCGCATGTCCGTTTTTCTTGGAGCATTTGCAAACCACTGTAAAACGATAAGGAAGAAAAAAAAGGATAACCCCCGATGATTGTCGTGGAAATCCCTTGGCATGTTTCTATTTGTGGTTTTAGGCTTATGTCCTCACAGAGGGAGCAACAAGGAGTGTCTCCTGGGCCTCCGAAAGAACAGTCCCTGCTCGACAAACAGAGTGTGAACCATCTCCCGTTCTTCAGGGCAGAATCTTTAAAAAAATCCTAGTTGCACCAGGCACCAAAACGATAACAAAGCGATAACAAAAACGATAACGCAGCGAGCCTAAAAGACCTTTGTGTAGGTAGGCCACCACATGTGAGCGCCATGGACAGCAATAAGATCTTCTGTCTGGGGACTCTAGCATGGACTCCAGCATGGGGAATTGTACCTAATGTCTTCATGTCTGCAGGTTCCACACCACATGCACGCAGTGCACACACACATGTATACTACATATGTTACATATGTTGCAGTTAGTCAAAAGTACTGTAAAACGATAAGGAAGAAAAAAAGATATAACGCCAAAAGTGGTAAGGCAAAAGGATAGGGGGTTTTTATACAACCTCAGGTTGCCTGTGGCATCGTGGACATGCTCGAGGCGGAACGTGTTTTTGGATGTTTTTGGTTGAATGGAGTGGACACTTTTGTCATGTCAATGTGACCCTGGTATATACTAGTAACTTGACCGTCTGATTTAGTGTACGCATTGAACATCATTGAACTATGTATGATATACCTATAGACCCAACTAGTCCCATGTGGTTTGTAAGGTTAAACCCTTGATTGGCGCTGGATTGGGCCTTGCTAACTTCGGAGCTTTGTCCCATGATGTTATGGGTGGAACTCCACGAGGGGCGACTTGCTTTCAATGTGGCTATATAACACTATATAACTATATAACATATTTTGGGATACTTTGCCCCATCATTGTTGGGCACATCTTCTCTTCTAACCATGTTCTAACCATGTTCAGCACAACACCATGTACCGGTCCCACCGCCGCCTTCCGAGGGGAAGTCCGGCCAGGACAAGGCCTATGCGGAGAAATACATCGATCCCAAGACCGCCCCGGCTCATATCGCCGTGCGGGTGCGGGACGACGAACGGACGAAGGGACGGGAAACCGGATGGAGGGTGAGGATGGTGAGAGGGTGTAGATTAAGACCTCCGGAAGGACATGCGTCATTCTTCACCGCAATTGGAAACACCCACTATGAGGATCAATCTTACATGGCATGGAGAGGTCTGTGACATTTTGCGGACGAGTCTGCGTGTCTCAACGCAGCAGGGTTTGAGATTGGAAGAAGGTGATTGAAAGGCGTCTTTGCGCCGAAAATCAAGGTGCGATGTTTGAATGTTGAGAGGAATGCCCGACAAACCTTATCAACCGATGATGACAGATGACAGATCTCCATACTGGCACCGTCCAAACACCAATTCACTGGTATTCACTGTGTTACTCTCTTCCAAACATCCCCCCAACAGTGGGTGCAAATGGCCAGGCTGGAGAGCCGGTGCCTTCAAAAGAGGAATGGATCAAAAAGCTCTTGGCGAAGCCGGGAGACAAGGCCACTGAGCTGGGCAGCGGTCAAGCGGAGCTAGACCGGTGGCTCGGTTCAGGGTGTTTGGCACGCATCCCAACAAGAGGAATCATGGCCCGTTCGCCTGGTCTTGTGGTCTAAGACCCCCTAGCCTTAGCAAAAACAGAACATTAAAGCAGTATAAATAATGATTAGTGGAATCCAGGGATTGGGATTGTTTTTGACTTGTTTTGTTGCAAATCCACGGTGAAAGCTTGCGTCGATGAGCTCCGTGTGTGATAGCCACCTCAAAGCGCTATGTCCTGAACTTTTGGAGGGTTTGACCCAGCAACTATGTAGGACTTAGGACATCTATAGGATCAATTACATGGATCCTGGTACAGTATATTATTCTTGATTGCTATTGATCCTGGTATATGGGAAGTCCAAGACCACTTCCGCCTTCTACGACATTGATGAAATTACTCTTTTGCCTTTTGAAGTCCACTCCCCGAGTCAACCACACCTCAATGGCAGCCGCTCGGCCTTGCTTCCAATCGCCCGTCCTTGCGGCACGTGATGTGCACCGACCCCACGGTAAGGTTGTTGTAGACACGTTGTAGACGTCTCAAGTCTGTGAAATCCATGACGAAACCTCCTCCTGCAGAAGATTTGGACAGGACCCAAAGCTTGGCTGTGTTGAATTGTTTGATCAAGCCGAAAGAACTCCAAGCACATCAGCAGGTTGGGACGTCTCTCTCTCTCTCTCTTTTTATATCAGGAAGTGAGAATCAGCGAACATCATCGAGAGTTTCCCATGTTGGTGCCCTGAAGTAGGGCCATGTTAAATCAATGGAGTCCTAGGCCCGACGGTGAACATTTGGTGCCTGGCAGCGTCCCAACTCCAAACTCCCACGAGCACCCAGCGGCTGATCGCCATGGGCGAAGAAAAGCGCCACTCCCTGCGCTTTGATGGGCGGACAGATTCTGGTGGCCTGGCTGGGGGGTCTTTGGGTTTTAGACACTTGTCCAACTCAGCTTCTTCTTTTCAGATCTGTTTATGGACCCACCACAGGAACCATCCAATTCTTCCAGGTTGGCGGAAGTGGCGGGATTCCAGTTTGGGCGCGCTCGCCGGCCGCGCCTCTTGGCGGGCCGTCGGGTTGGTGGGGTTCAGACATCCCCCGATGTTGAAGTTAAAGGTATTAGGGTGTGCCACTTTGCAGCTCTCTTTGGCTCTGGAACTAGAGGCTGGAGTTTAGATTCACCCCCTCCAGCATATGGATAACTGGAGCTTCCTTGTAACGCTACTGTGTGCTTATGCAGCCATCGCCTGGCATCTTCGTCTTCCAGATGTTTTGGAAGCCTGGAAGAACTTCTTGACCAAAGCGCCTGCTGCCCAGGATCGGCCAAACATGGGGAACACAGGTTACACAGGATACACCGACACCAACTTCACATAGCATGGATCCATGGAACACTCCCACTTCCTTGGTTTCCACCAAACATGGAACAGTGAGTCGGAACAGTGAGTGAGTCGGAAAGGGTCGGGGGTGTGTTTCTGGTCGTGTGCTCGTCTACAGTGTCAGAGTAGATGGCACTGGCACACCCACAAGATATCTAGGAAATCTTTGGGGTGTGGGTCCTTTGATTTTCTGTTGGACAGGATGCAGCAAATATGCAGCGACTTCGTCAAGATCTTGCCGCGGCTTGCCCGTGGTACTCGTACAAGTGTTGTGTGATTGCCTCTTTGTTTGGCAGGTAGATCGTGCGCATCACCGCGAACTGCTCCAGCACTGGGTAAGTTTTTACAGGCTGCTTGGGCAGTTTTCCTTGGCTTTTGAGCAGGAACGCTGTGTTCCCTATTGTATGCCGGAGCGCTTGGAGGACTATTATCTTGTTCGCGATCTTTTGTGTGTGGATTTTTGTTTTGGCAGGCGGATCTTGAGAAACGACGCTGCAAATCGGTGCCTGCACTTGGCAGCAGATTGGTGCAGAGGTGACGAGTGTCATTGCGGCGCCGTGTTCCGGCGTGATTTGTTTGCTGTTTGCTGTTGAAAGCGTACGCTCAGCAAGCGGAAGAGATGGCGCAAGCGCTTTCCAGATTGCAGCTAGCCGGGGCAGGCGCATCTGCCGCCATTGAGGAACAAGAAGCTACTAGGGGCTCCTGGCATCGCTACTAGGAGCGATCGGACGCTACGAACGGGGCTCCTGGCCTTACTACTACTACTACTACTACTACTACTACTACTACTACTACTACTATAGAGCAATGTTTGCTACGAGCTTTTTCGCGCGCGCGCGCCATTCACATGGACAACTTGCAGATGGTGCCATCCGACGCACCCGTTGGACACCTTTGGACTCGTCGGTGACGGTGCGGACACGTCGCTCCGACTCGCACGTCGGCGGGCCATGGAAGGACGTCATCACATCGGTGGCCTTTTTCGTCGTGCGGTTTCAATGGTCCCTATGACTCCCAGTCATAAACCTTTGAAAAGGGTGATCTGGAGACACTTTGGCTATCTTTGGCGGTTTAGAGGGTCCAGTTGTACCTTCTGAGAAGGTGGCAGTGGATCCCTTTGGGGTGTGACGTTGGGAGACCTCCGTTTGGAACTGAAGCTCCACGCTCCCAAGTTCCACCCAGTTGGCACCGGGGACGCACCGCTCCCCCCGGTTTTGGACGCCGCCGCAGGTGCCTGGTGCAGATCTGACTGTGCAGAGTCGGCTGCAAGAGTTCCGGCAGAATGCCATGCCCAATTGGGTGCCCATTTTTACCAAGACGGGCGACCTGGCCATCGTTGGAGTGAGCATCTCTTTTGGGCAAACATGTGGGTGTTTTTGAAGTCCCGCGTCCATAGGGGCTATAGGGCCACAGGGTTATGACTGGCTAAACCTGTAACAGGCCAGTTTTGGGGGTTGAGTTTTTTTTTACAGTTTTGTTATGGTTTTGATATGGTTGGAGGTTATGATTTTGATATGGTTTTCCTTTTGCGAGGGACGGAGGCAGGTTCCAGGATTCCAGGCCCTGGAAAGGCTACCAGAAGGCTTTTGAGTGGGCCACGAGCTTGGAAGAAAGGTTCCCTTGTGGGGGGAGGAGGGCTTGGGTGGCTGGACCATAAGAAAACCATTAAAACAAACATAAGAAAAGTGTAAGGCTTATGGTTTTGTTATGATGTTGATATGGTTTTAGTATGGTTTGCCTTTTCCATATCAACAAATCCTATCAAAACCATAACAAAATCATGAGCAGAAAACCACTAACTTGAGAAACCATAACAAAGCCATAACAGCAAATCATATCAAAACCATAACCAAACCATTAAAACACATGTTTTACATACATGCTTCTGTCACACCTTGGCCAGTCTGAACCATAGGGTATTCTCGTTGGAAACAGCATGACTAATATATACTAATTAGATCTAATTATATAGTTACTAACGAGTGAACAGCTGACCGCAGGGTTCTACGTGTTTTTAGAAGTTTTTGAAGTGTTGTTTATTTTTTTGCGGTTTGGTGTTCAGGGCGACAGGGGGAGAGCTGCGGCACAAGATTGTGCATTCTGGCCTTATTGCCACAAGACCAGTGGAATCCAGTGAACTCACTTCTAGTATGTTTCTTGCATACTCTACTGTACTCTACCGTCAGGAACAAGACATTGGACCCCGAGCCCTGTAGGCGATTACTATGGTTGTTCTCGATGTTTACAGAGTGCAGTTGGATTGGGTCAAGACCTAGGGCCTCCATAGGTTGACATTGGCTTGAGTGATGGGAGGAATTCTTCCCCCATGTGCATATTATGAGAGCTGATTGATGAGACTTTATCGGGTAAGCTGGGGGATCAACGTATGTATATACACCAAATGTTAGATTTATACTTGCCAGTCCAGCCGCATGTGGGTGTGTATTCGGGTGCACCGTCAAAGCAAACACTTCTAAGGATCCACTGGTAAAAGAAAGAGCTCAGACTCGACTATGTTATGACATATAATGACAATGACCCAGTGATTAAAGGGCATCTTCCTGAAACGAACGTTCAAACGAACGTTCACCGTAGTTCACCGGAGCGGTGGTTGTCGGACATGTTTTCGCCGGTCCACGTGAGGTGAAGTCCATCTTTCCTTTTGAGCCCTTCCCTTAGTTAATCAAGTAAGGGAGCTCCTAGCTAGGACACAGGATAGCTGTTCTTCAAGGAAGCGCTTGCACTATAATTTGGCTCCTGGAATTTTGCGGAAACTGAACTGCGAAGTGTCCACCTGAGGCGAAGTCTATTTGCTTGTTTGGGTTTTACTACGCTTGAGTGTGCCTGAAGCCTGGACGAAGCCAGCCTGTGAGGATATGCACATGTGGAGTCTGGTGGTGTCTTTGGTCGCTGGACGCGGAAAAAGGAGAAGCTTTGGAGACTGTTGAGATTTCCTGTTGCCCCTTCGAATTGATCATACGTGCGATGCGATCTAAACGGATCGGGGCACGAACCTGCCAAAAGGAAACCAAGAGGAAACAAAGGATCAGTGAACATCTCAAAAAAAATGTAATACTACGTGATACAGTGATACATGTTTTTTGTCCGATATTTATGGTTTTTTTTGCTCCCGTCCAGCCTTCGTGAGGTGGGATTACGCTTGGTGTGCCAACCTGATGCTCACAGCTCCAAATGGCAGCGAAGGTTCATGTCCACCACCTTTTCGATCGCGTCCATGCTCTCGCAAGTGGAGACTCGGCCCAGACTCGCTTCTTCGGACGAGCGACCTATAGGTCTCAAGGCACAAAGGCCAAGAGAGGCCAAGACTCGGTTCTCGGCGGAGCTAGAGAACTCCAAGAGAGATCCAATGATCATGGCTTGGTTGCAAGCTGTTTGTTGTTTTCAGTCATATTTGTTGGACAGAGCGTATCAGCGTGATCTTACTTTCTTACTTATGCCCAAGTTTACTGGCGATGGAACAAGTGCTGCACTCGGAACAATCAGTTCATCCGACATACCTCAGACCTGCAGGTCCCCATGCCATGGAAAAGTCGGCAAAGTGCTGTTTCATGAAGTTTCATATGTTCTTTTGGAGAGTCATATTCTTCTGGATTCTTCTAGTCCAAATATGCCTCCCAAGTATGACTCCCACTAGGATATGCCAAAGCAGCTTGGACACGTGAGTGGGGTCGCCTATGCGGCGACCACTCTTTTCATAGGAGATCCCTGGTTCGGACTGGGTGTTTATGCAGCCTGCAGCCCTGCACGTGTGTTGCTCACCTACGGGCTTCCGTCGATGGATCAAACTTCTACGACCTTTGACCTGATCCTGTGCACTGCCTGCTTTTGATCAAGTGCTGATTTCTATGTTTTAATGTTTTCATGACATGTGGGTTTGCACCTATGAAATATGGTGGAAGCGGTTGGTTGTTTTGGGGGGCTACAATTGCCGCTTGCTATGCTTGCTTGAGGTACATGATGAATGACATCTTGACATCCATCTTCATTTACCTGATCTTGCAACATATCGACTTTCTCTTGGGCAAGCTACTCCGGACCACCATTGACTTGGAGGATCAAGTCCAGGAGAGGTGCACCGAGTCAATCAGAACGATGGTGGGGAACCTTCCTTGAGTGGATTTTGGGGATTCCTGATGGGTCGACTGTTCAGATCTGTTCAGATTCTCACCATCCTGCTATATACCCGTATTCGGTATTTGCACGAAAACACACGCCCGACCCGAAAGGAGAAAGAACGGAGCAGGAAAGAAACCGATGACCTGCTGGCCGCCGCCCGACGACTGCTCTCGGTGACCTGTGATTGCTGTGAGCAACTCACGGATCGTTTAGAGATGGTCGAGCCTTCTCAAAACACTTTGGCCATGTTGCAGATCAAGAACCCAGAGGAGGACGCGAGGAACGCCATGTCTCTCCCCTTCTTGCAGTTTATTTGCACCGAAGACCAGGATAGATTTTCACAGTTCATCGCGGCCTCAGATTCTCAGGCCCCATCCTCATTGCACCTGCGCATGCAAACCTGCAAGGGTGCGCCCTTTGAGGCGAGCAATGTGACGAAAGTGAATCAGAAATACTTGGTCGTTCTTTATTTTTGTAGAATCTGTACTTAGACATGTAAAGAGCAATGAATTGTTTGATTACCGTCCGAGTCAGTAACATAGGGTCATTTTCCATTTCCATGGTTGTTGGAGGGAGGGTATATCCCTATACCCGAAGTTTGGTGTGTACTTGTTCGGAACTAATCCGTATGAGGCTCAAGTCTTCCACGTGAATGTACCACAAAGCACATTGGGATGCTCCCACTGGCACCTCATTGGTATCTCCAAGTCGGCTGCCGCTGAGATGACTAGCATCTTGGTGTTCACAAGGAATGGACTGCTGAAGGATATGAACTGGTTCTTTTTGGATGAAAACTAACGAAAACCATGTAGAAAGGCTTCGGGTCAGAACCTAAACCCTTCTAAGCCATCATTTGGTGACGCACGTTTGGGAGGGCATTCCAGAGCCATTTGGGTCTTTTGGCACAAATCCTGGGTGCCATGACCATCAATCATAGTCCTATATAGCTTTGCCCCAAGGACCAAAGGGGTGGTCTTCCGAAACTCCGCGCGGAAGCAACACCTAGCAGCTAGCAAGCTCTTCAGGCATTCAGATCTTTCTGACACATTGAAGAAACGACGAAAACTGATCTGTGCATATTGGCCACTGTTTTTTTCCAAATCGGCCTTGGGGAATCCTGTTTCGGTCTTGCGGGTTGCAGGTCCGGTCTAGCCATTATCATTGTCAGGGACCCCCAACCTCTTGCAAAAGAATTTCATCTCAGGCAATGCACCAAACAATACTTACCGACTCAGCAGAAGCCCCATCTGCTCGAAAAAAAGGAAACGCGCCGGGAGCTGAGTCAGGCATCCCCGAGCACTGCACGGTGGACCCTTCGCCTTTCATCCCCCTGCTCAGCGCCCCGCGGCCCCGGAGCCGTCGCTCCGTCTCCAGCGGCTCGCGCTCGGCCGCCGCGTCGACGTCCAGCGGCGCGTCGTCGGAGTGGAGCTCGTCGGCGGCCGCGGCGCAGCTGGATCGAAGCATCAAGGAGATTCAACTGCACCTTGGGCAAAGGAGGGTTTTCAATGGTTTTCAGAATGTGTTCAGGATGTTTGCAGGATCATTTCGAGGTGAGGTCAGTTGGAGTTTTTCAGACGGCTTGTGAGAGGTTCGTTCTGGCTTTCGGAATGTTCATGGAAGGTGTATTCAGTTCGTGTTTTCGGTCAAAGGAAAGATAAGAATGTAATAAGTGCATCGCTAGTAGTACAAGTAGTTCCCGGGCAAGCCGGCGGCGGAAGTTTCATATAAGAAGAAATTGACCTATAGGAGTGTCCACGTTCTCTACAACATGCGCGTCCTCCAGTCAAACGCACGCGCTCCGGACTTTTGACCCACGGGATTCCACGTGTGTAAGGTGTGTGCCCCCTGCAGGATCAGCAGCTCACAACAGCGTACTGGGTTGTATCTTTGCCACGACAAGATCAGCAGCCCACAACGGCGTGTTGAACCAACTGGGCATGTACAAGTGTATGTACTACAAAGTAGCCAGTTCTCAGCTTCCAGCTCCACAGGTTGTTCCGCGTGCTAAAGTTGTACTAGAAAGTCGCCAATCAATTCTCATCTTCCAGCTCCCCAGATGCTCCGCGTACTGCAGTTGTACTACACAGTCGCCAGTTCTCAACGTCCAGCTCGCCAGATACTCCGCGTACTAAAGTTGTACTACAAAGT